GCCAGCGGGCGAGGAGGGCGTCCGCCCGTGCCGACGGTCGTACTCCTCCGTCTCGCGACGGAGGAGCCTTGCCGGCGGCTCGAGGCCTTTGTTGGTCCACTTCCTGGCCGCGCGCTTCCTTGCGCCTTCCGCGTGGACACACCGCTCGCGCTCGGGGTCGTTGCCCCCGCCGGAGCTGCGGCTGGAGCTCCACATGCGGCCCCACATGACCGCTGGAGGAGGAACTGGGCTCACCGGCGGCAAGAAAATGCGAGGGAGGGAGCGGGAAATTGCGGGGAAACGCGGCGGCGGCTGGCGGCGGGGGATAGGCTTTCGGCCCGTATCTGTCCCGCAAACCCGTAGTTATACGGCTTCGAGGGTGAGATTTGCGGGCCGTGCTAAAAACATTTACGGGCAGGACGAGTATACGGCCTCTGTTCTGGCCAGAAAATTAGGCCGAACCTGTATACTCATCAAAATTATGCAGGTTTAAGCGTTATACGTGGTCTGCTAGATATGCTTTAAGAGGGCCCTGAATCTAATGTTACGAGCCATGCTACCCAAAGTTGGTCGGCTAACTTACGTAATTTTAGAAGATCACATTTTCTATTGTTGCGCTGTCTCCGATTTAAGTAGACCCGTTCAAAAAGTTATTTCATCACGCCTCCTCCTCCGAGAGACGGAGAAGACAAAAGAGACGGGCCGGGCCGCCAGTAGATGCATGCTGTGCTGCTAGAACATCACTGGACTGGACGGATCCGAACATAAACTCCCATAGAATATGCAGTGATCATATGCTAATTAATACTCCAGCAGTCCACTAATCTCCATTCTCCAAGCTCGGACTAAACAATCCGCACAAGAGGCCGCCAATTCCAGCGCCACGTTCAAACGCCACGGTAGCAGGTCGTCGTCCGCTTGGCATCTTGATTTTCTTGCGGGCGCCCAGATCCCGACGCGGCCAATGGCGCCCCTCCGGCCCGCCCGGGTCAACCCCTCCCGCCTCCATGCCATCGTCACGTCCACTCCGGCGCCCCCATGAGCCGACCGCTTCGCCTTGGCCATGGGGAGACCCTCGCCGATCCGCCCACTCCTCCTACTCCTCGGCGTCCTTGGCAGCGTCGCCTGGCTCCGGCGCGCCGAGGCCGGCACGGTCCGGACGGAGCTCGTCACGCCGGACTTCGCGGCGTCGTACCTCCTCTTCATCGACACCCTCGGCGTGTTCCTCCGCTCCAGCAGCGGCGCCTTCGAGGCCGCGGTGCACAGCCCGGCGGGGCAGCAGGACCGCTACTACCTCGCCGTGCTGCACGCGCCGTCCGGGACCCGCGTCTGGGTCGCCAACCGTGCCGCGCCCATCACCGACCGCGCCGCACCGTTCCGCCTCTCGTCGGCTGGGGTCTCCGCCGAGGACGCCAACGGGACCGTCGTCTGGTCCACGCCCCCGTTCGCGTCTCCCGTCGCCGCGCTCCGGCTGGCCGACTCCGGCAACCTCGCGCTGCTCGACGGGCAGAATGGCACGCTCTGGCAGTCCTTCGACCGGCCTACGGACTCGCTCGTGTCGTCGCAGCGGCTCCCCGTTGGCGGGTTCCTGACCTCGGCCGCGTCGGCCTCGGACCTGGCTGAGGGGGGCTACAGCCTCAACGTCACCGCCGCCGACGCCGTGCTCGCGTGGATGGGGTCCCTGTACTGGCGGCTGTCGGGCGAAGCCATCGCCGTCAAGGACCGCGATGGCACGGTCGCGTACATGCTCGTGAACGGCACCGGCCTGTACCTTCTCGCGGCGGACGACACCGTCATCGTCCAGGTCGCGATGCCACCTGCCGGGCTACGCATCGTTCAGCTGGGCGTGGATGGGAAGCTGCAAATCTCGAGCTTCGAGTCGGCGAACTCATCGTCGTCGCCCATGGACGGCGGGATCATGGCGCCGAGCAGGGGATGCGCCCTTCCGCTCTCATGTGGCGCGCTCGGCCTCTGCACGCCCGACGGCAACGCGTCCATCTGCACGTGCCCGCCGCCGTTCCCCACGGCGCACGACAACGGCTGTGCGCCGTCCGTTGGCTCCACATTACTGCCCGACGGCTATTGCGGCAGTGGCGCCGGTGGCAGGTCGACGACTTCGTATCTCAGCCTTGGAAGCGGCATTGCGTACTACGCTAACAAGTTCTCGCCGCCGGCCATGGCCGGCTCCAACGCGTCGTCGTGCCAGGCACTCTGCAACAGCAACTGCTCCTGCCTCGGCTACTTCTACGACTCCTCCTCCTTGTCTTGCTACTTGGCGCAACACCAGCTTGCTTCGTTCATTAACACCAACGCGAGCAACGGCGCCGGCATGTCCGGGTACATCAAGGTGCAGAGCTCGCCAAGGTCGTCGCCGGACAGTTCGTCTTCCAACAAGACACTCATCGCCATCCTGCTCCCTACCATCATCGCATTTGTGCTCGTCGTCGTCGTCGGCGCGTTCGTCATCACGTCACGGCGGCGCAAGGACGAGCAGCGCGTGGGGAGGCGCGCTTCGCGGTCCAGGGACGTGCAGCTCCGGCGGCAGCGCTCGCCGGGGTCAGCCTCGGCGCACCTTGTGCGCGATCTGGACAACGACGACGACGGCGATGACGACATCGTCATCCCCGGCCTCCCCACCAGGTTCACGCACGACGAGATCGAGGCCATGACCAACAGCTACCGCACCAAGATTGGCGCCGGCGGGTTCGGGGCCGTGTACAAGGGCGAGCTCTCGGACGGCTCGCTGGTGGCCGTGAAGAAGATCGAAGGCGTGGGAACGCAGGGGAAGCGCGAGTTCATGACGGAGATCGCCGTCATCGGCAACATCCACCACGTCAACCTGGTCCGCCTCCGGGGGTTCTGCACCGAGGGCCACCGCCGCCTGCTGGTGTACGAGTACATGAACCGCGGCTCCCTCGACCGGCCCCTGTTCCGGCCGGCGGGGCCTCTGCTCGAGTGGAAGGAGCGGGTGGACATCGCCATCGGCGCCGCGAGGGGGCTCGCCTACCTCCACTTCGGCTGCAACCAGAGGATCATCCACTGCGACGTGAAGCCGGAGAACATCCTGCTCGCCGACGGCGGGCAGGTGAAGATCGCCGACTTCGGGCTCGCCAAGTTCCTGACGCCGGAGCAGTCCGGGCTGTTCACGACGATGCGGGGCACGCGCGGGTACCTGGCGCCGGAGTGGCTGACCAACACGGCCATCACGGACCGCACGGACGTGTACGGCTTCGGCATGGTGCTCCTGGAGCTGGTGCACGGCCGCAAGAACCGCAGCGAGCACGTGAGCGACGGCGGCGGCGAGGACTCCAACTCCTCGAACGGCACGGCGGGAAGCTCGTCGCGCAGCGGGAGGAACGACTACTTCCCGCTGGTGGCGCTGGAGGGGCACGAGGGCGGGCGGTACGCGGAGCTGGCCGACCCGCGGCTGGAGGGGCGGGTGGTGGGCAAGGAGGTGGAGAGGATGGTGAAGGTGGCGCTGTGCTGCCTGCACGAGGACCCGCACACGCGGCCGAGCATGGCGGTGGTGGCCGGCATGCTGGAGGGCACCATGGAGCTGGGCGAGCCGCGCGCGCAGGCGCTCGGGTTCCTCCGGCTGTACGGCCGGGGGTTCGCCGGGCCCTCCGAGGGCAACGTGATGAAGGATGCGATGGTGGGCGATCGCACCCGGTCGGAGACGACGATGACGACGATGAGCGGGTGGCCGTCGTACATGTCCTCGTCGCAGCTGTCCGGCGCGAGATAGCGCCATGGGTACGGTGCCTGTGCTAGAGGTTGTACTCCACTTGATCATTTTGGTTGATTCCTTGGTAGTAGAACAGAGGTGGATTGGTCTGTGAGATCTTGACCTGTATCTCTGCAGTTTTGCTGTATCGTGCTCTTTGTCGTCAGATTTTCCTTCAGAGTAAATGGAACTATGGATCAGCGGTTTAGCTAATTCTTGGTTGTCTTTCTGCTCTCCAAATATTGGAAGAACATCTTCTATGCTGCAAAAGAGATTGTAAATAAATCCACTCCCCCCCCCCACCCTTCTCAATCCCGAGCCGCAGAAACATTAAGAATACTCTCTCCGTTTCATAATGTTGTGTATATAGATTTTTCAAAAAGTCAAACCTCACAAACTTTGACCAAGTT